CTCGACAGACGCGTCGGTATTTTGGCCACTGGGGACACCAAACGAAGCACAGACCAGGACGAAGATGTTGCAAAAGTTTCCAAAGAGCGGGAAACCTGCAAGTTTTAAATTTCGTTGCGCCTCCTATTTGGTATGTTAATATCTGAGAATAGAATAAAGTGTTTGTCAGGCAAATACTTGAGATACTATTTGGAGTTAGTTAACAATAACATAAGCCCATATGACTAAAAGTGTGCTATACAAAATTAATCCAAGTAAGCTGTAGATTTTGTTGTTAGCTCCTTTACTTCTTAGTTTCAATATACCCTTTTGTGCTTGGCTTAGAGCGTATAAATACATTTCATTTGCTGTTACCATCGAGACAGCAAAATGGGCTGACTTTAGCCATAGGCAAGGCATTTAAGTGAATACATACCAAACATTTACCAAAGGCTTTGTTTCGAATTACGTGCGACTATTTCTGTCTGTCATTTAGATTTAAAATTAGTGGCTACTTAACATGCACGACAGTCCCATTAACAGGCTGTAGACCAGACTAATTTTGTCTGGCATTTTCCATGAGACCATTTGCCATTAAGGGACTTGATATTAAGTAATTGAAAATCAGCTTTAAACTAAACCGATTGATTAGGAATAATTGAAAGCAGCATTTCGCAAAATTGTGTAATTTCAAAACCATTTTCAGTTTGATTGGTAAGGTGATAAGAGGACTATTGTTTTTCAAAGGCTCGTTCACACTTTTCACATCTTGTGGCGCTATCAAGTGTAGCTCAATCGCGTCATCCGAATTAGATTCACAGGCAAGTTGTTTTGTAGTTTTATGAAATATGACGTTGTGATTGAGTTGAATTTCCTTAAACCATTAAAATCAATTTGAAGCAACGTAAGCGCTGTTATATTTTTAAAGCATTTAAGATTTGGTTTTTTTTTTACTTTTTAAAATCTTCTACCATTATCCAATACTTGTATCCTTACTTAAATCAGTGGCATGATGTGACTTTAAAAGCTTTTAAGTGACTTAATATTTTTGTCTACCAGATTGAATGCATGTCTGGCAAAAAAGACAGAGTCAAGTTAGAAATGTCATCTTATAAGTAGATATGGATTTTTTCTTTTGTTTGACTGTCAGCTAGTTCAAATATGAGAAGAAAAAAAAACAAAAAACTGTTGCAGTTAGTATGTTCATTTTTGTGGAAACACTTGCAAGTCTCCATGGCTTACTCGACTGCCAATTATCCTTTATGTGGCAAGCACACGTCACGCTCCATAAAATTGAAATGAAATACTAAATTTGTGTCGTTACTGTGCTGATTGCCATGAACTGCAATTGCACATATGAAGCAAAAGTCTAAGGGGGCAAAAAGGAGATCTCGCAATGACCCCAACCATAAACATAACACAAGCAGCACAAAGCAACGCATAAGTTAAAAAAATAGGAAAACAATACAACAACAGATACAACGTGGACAAACTGCTGACCCAATAAAGTTTCTGCCGCTGCTAGTATTTTTGCAGTAAAATCAATTTTTCATTTCGTGGCAGCCTGGCGTCGCCACGCCGTGTCCTGCGATTGCTCGACAATTGTGACTGAACGCGTTAAAGCCAAGCGCTGCAGCAGACAACGTAATGGCTTATATGTAATGGCGGTCACAATCAAAAGCGAAAACAAAACAAAACATAAATATGCTGCAAGTGGCAGTAAAGTCATGTGTAAGTGGCAGCAGCAGCTGCTGCATTCGGTTTTTATGACACATACGCAACGTTGCACAAAGTTACAGATAAAGTTGTCGCAACTGACAAAGGCAAAATCATCTGCTTTTAAAACTGTAAGATAGTCAAATTGCCAAATTGTTGGATTTGTGTGGCATACGCCTGCAGTGATGACACACTCGACCATTTGTCTCCCCTTCTATATATATATTTTTTAAAGCTGTTCATTTGCTGCTGAAGGCATCAAAACAGCTTGAATAAAAGGCTCCTGCTTTCATTTAAGCGCTTTTTGCACCGATTTATCCCATCAAAGTAAATGCTGATAGCGCCAGTTGAAGCAACAACACTCGACAAGAAGTAAGCCAACGTCAGTGCCAGAAAGTAAAACCAAGCAAAAAAGTGTCACAGCACAGAAATTTGGCATCTTATTGTCTGAAGCTGTCTGCATATTGGCTGACAGCTTAGTCAAAATATGTCAATCAAATTGAGCCAAAGCGCATAGCAAAACAAAAAAAAAATAAATGCTCAATGGCGGCTTGGCACCAACTCGTGTCGAGGCCATGAATAGCAGCTTTGACTGATATTTCATATATTTTGCATGCAAATTAAATGCGCATTAACACAAACAGCAGCAACAACAATAGCCTTAAACTTAAATGCTAAACTGATTATGCAAAGTCCAAATGGGTTGAGACGATTATTTCTTTGAAGGGATTTGCTAGATTTACATATGCATATAGCAACTACTTTTAAAGAAATATATAGTCTGCAGATTTGCATAGGCAATTTGGAAAGAAGACACAAAAAAATGTACTTTCAAATACTGAAACAGATAAAATCTATTTTATAATAAATGGAAGTCAACCAATGAAAATTATGAAATATAAAATAATATACAAAAACTAAAAACTATATAAAAATTAAAACTGTGGTAATAAAATAATCCTTTAATATTCATGGCATATGGTTGCTTCCCCTATTTAAATATATTTACCCTTGCAGGTTTTTACTTACTGAGTATTTAATTAGGAATACAAACATTAAAAACTAAGCAAACAAGAATTTGTATATTTACCAGTGTGATTGTATTAGTTTAAGTTGCAACTAACTGTCATTAGTTTATATAACTTGTAAAGGAACTATAAATAGAATATTCTTCCAAATAACTGAAAACACACAAAGGCAATCGAAAAATGGAACGAAAATAAAGCATTCTCAGCGCAAAGCCGCTTAACCACAAAAAGGCATTAAGTTAAACTTGCAACAACAAAATATGTTCTCTTTCAGGCAGGAAAAACTTTGCGCAATGTCACAATTTTTCATAAATAAACGCAAACGTTGCGTATACGCAATATATCATATTTTTATACACATTTAAAAAGCTGCACTTCAAAGCGTTAGCACTTAAGTGACACTTCAGTAGCACATTTCTAGTAATTATTTTATGCAATGCACTACCCGCCAGCTGTATTGTCAGCACCCACAAAGGCGCCACGTTACGGGGAGCGGGCTTGCAGAGCAAAAAACGAGTTGGTTGGCATATATGAAACATAAAACAGACGCTGCAAAGCATTTGTTGGCCATGTGCCAAATGAAACTATGCGCTTGTAAAATGCAATAAAAAATTACACATTTATAAGCATCGAAAGTGGCGACATGTAGCCACGCCTTAAACGCCTTTAGGCGGCATCCACTCGACTAAATTGAATGTGTCCAAGTGGAATCAGGCAAGCCAGATAGCCCACACAGGCACGCAACATACACACTTGAGCTATACGTGTGCTAATAAATCATTGCCAAAATAGTTGCGTGCCCGCATTAGTGGACCGCTTACCTGGCCACAAACTTTGTTTGCGTTTTTAATATAATTTATTTGGCAAATTCATTCACGTTTCAGCAGCCTGTGGCCAATAAGTTGACATCTTGTAGCGATTTTAATTTTAAGTCTCGTGTCAAAGGTCACACCAGACAGTTAAGAACACACACACACGAGAGCCAGGGGAGACAGACAGCCAGTCAGACGCACAGCCACATATGCATGCACATAAGTTTTAAGGCCACACTAAGAGTTCAGAGGTCCTTTTGTTGGCCTGCACAGACGTGCGTGCTGCCACGACATTGCCATTGTTGGCAACAATCTAATTGTTAAAGTTATTGTTATCAGCTATGAACAATCCAACAATCAGTTGCATGTCCGCTGGGGTCAAGACTTGCATATGTTAAATTCAATTAGTAACATGCTCATAATCTCCTTGGATACGTGATATTTTTACTCAATGAGCACACTAACCGTACTTATGCGTTCTTATGATATGTATGAAGAGTGCCGCTAATGCGGCTATAATAACTCTTCTTTACAACTTTGCGTTGATACGTTTCTAAATAATTGATTGAGAAGTATTAAATACGAACATCTTTATGACTAGGTGAATACAATACTAAAATTTTTATAAGCATGCATTATACAACACGGTGTGCAACATTGAGTTCGATAACTAATGATGTCGAGTAGGGAGAATTTTTGTAGCTTTATTTTTATCTTACTGTTCATTATATTCTTTAGTTTTAGTTTAATTGCAATATTAGAAATATTAGAGAGATTAGACTAAATGGCAAAAAAAAAATTGCCCTAAATTATATAAAGTCCGCAAGAAATTAATGGACGCATGCAAATATTTATGTTTAATATTTATTTATCTTTAATTGATAATAATATTTTTATTCTACTATATGTGACATTATAACAGAAATAAGTCAAATTTGAATTACAAAAAATATATTTTATACATTAAAAAGTTTTCTTCCATATCTTTGCGCTTTGCCCAGCTTTGAAAGATTTACATAGAATTAGGGAGCGACTTTTTTTTTATTCATACCCTTATCATTTTTTAGCGCCAAAGTTTGCCACCTACAAAAGTCGCATACGGCGCCACATTAATAACAAGCTTCAGTACGCGACCTGAGCTGAAATTAATCCACCTAAACAGGCAAATATACAAAATTCGTAAACACGCATACACACACACACACATATGACATGTAGCGGCTGGTGCGAAAACCCAGTTCCAAACAATATACCAATCCCAGTCCATAGACAAGAGCCTTGTCACCCGTGAGACGGGTTTTTGGCCAAGAGTGCTTAAAGCGTTTATTATGCAGCAGCTGTGGGTTTATGAATGGTTTTTAAATACCAGAGCTTAACAGGTCTTATGGCACAGCAATCGTCATTGAACTTAACGTGTTTTATGTGCAATGTGATTATATTAATGTATTTTCAATTTTCATTGCAGCTACAGTTTGTTAAATATGACTCACACCTAAGGTACGACTCACACACGGGCGGCATGTTGCATCTGAGGCTTTTCGATAGCTCGCTCTATTATACGCTGGCCTCCGTGTCGTCGGGCATGCTGCCACCACCCCAGGCGTCCAATGGCAGCCAGTTGACGTTGACTGGCGCAGCAGCCGGCATTGCGCCAGCGGAGTCTACAGTTAATCTGACATATTTTACACCTGCGATCTCACACGTGATGCTGGCGCCGACGCCAACGACTGCTAGTGCAGCCCAGACGACAGAAGCAGCAACAACAACAACAGCAACACCAACAACAGCATCAACAACAACGCCAGGCAGCGATTTTGAGGCGGCGGCAGCGACAGCGGCATCAGGCGACAACTTAACGTCGCCATATGCGGGTGAATTGGACAACTTGAATTCTTTCTACTTTTATGAGGTGGGTACCCAAAGTATAAAAAAAAAACTCCTGCTTGTCATTGTCTTCTCAGGCAGCACATCTGCGCGGAGCTTATTCAACTAATTTATGCATTGAAACCGATACAGCTCTCCAAATTCATTTTATATAAACTTTTTCCATTGACTTCAATTGATTTTATAAAATTACATTTCGTGGGTGAATCGCAACAGTTGTCTGGGTGAAGTTAAGTTAAGTTGACTGCCACTCACAATATATTTTGTTAAAATTTAATAAATTGTCTATATAATTGTTTACATTTCATATTGTATATTGGAAAGATAGATATATGTCAAATACTTGATACTGCAACATAATTCCGTTTTTGTTATTATTTATAGTCCTTTATAAAATCGTTATTTTTTGATAATGCCCCTAATAACAAAATGTATTCTACAAAGCTTTCACAGAAAATGTTTTAAAACTTTTGTTTTAGTGTTAGGTGCCCTTAACATCGTTTTAGATTATCGATTGTTACGGCAGGATTAGTTTTGTAAACGTTTTTAAAAATCTTGCATACATGAGTAATTGGAATTTGATAGCTTTTCTCAAAAATGGTGTTCTAAGTGAAATTTACTTTCCATACGACCCTCGCGAACACAATGCATGTGAACGACTTGCGTTACAAACTGCAAAGTTTATTTTTTTATTCGCATGCCGCAAAATCAAACAGACGACAATGGCAGACAAAATTCCTGCTGCTGGGGTCACTGTCGGCAGCTGTTGTCATGTTTTTGGTAAAAATTTGAATTTGCGCAAGCTGAAAATGAGCGACACGAAGCTCACTTTGCCACAAAATGACAACGAACAATAATAAGGCAAATGTTTGGCAAATGTCATTTGTTTCGCAGCTGCAAATTAGAATTGAAATTGGGGTAGAAAGTTGTGTGGCGCACTTTAAGTTAATTTGCATGCCAGGCGCCTGGCTTATCAATTGGGCAATCAATCAGCGGTCGCAAGTCGTGACAACAACTTCGATTAAACTAAACTTCCGTTTTTTGGATTGAGGCGGCCATAAAAATGGAAGCAGCCTCTCCAAGTGTGGCACGCACCCAAAGTGTAATGAAATCTCTATACGCTCCATCGTATAAATCACGCCAACGAACAGCCATTGTTAAAACGGAAATAGCCTTAAACCCAAGGCAGCCCCTCGTGCTTTAGAGTCGCGCAGATGCCGCTGTAGCCAAGCTAAAGCGCGTCAATCGCTCAAAGTGCTTGTGCGTGTGTGTGTTTCGGTGTTTGCCATAAATTTGGATCTATTTAAATGAGCACCACCCAAAGAAAGCAGTCAAATTCACACACAGACCCGCAGACAACATATGGCCAGCAAAAAGTAAAGTTAGACCCTCTCCATAGCCCCGCATCCGCCTGGCCAACAATGACAAAGTTATAAAAAAAAATCAAAGAAGGCCCAGACTACAAATGCCAACAGCTTATTGATTTGAGTGATAGTTTTTATGTGCCACCAATAAGAGTATCCTTGTAAAAGGACCGCAAGGGTAAGCATATAATTTATCTTCATCTCAACTCAACGCGCATCGAACGAACTTCAAGTTGGTTTTTTGCAATAGATTTTTCATATTTATGGCATATTGCGTACATTTGACTCTGAAACTGATTTTTAGGCAACATTTACTTATAGCCTTTTATTGGTTTAGGCAAAACAAGCAAACGATTATTCGGCTATGATTTCTAATGTATAATATATATTTGTTTGAATATAAGGAAGAATTTTCTTTGATTTCTACTGAGTAGAATAAAAGACAGAAGCTAAAAATAACAATCTAAAAATAAGTATGTCCTTTATCAGTGATCCAGACTAAATAAAACACGAAAAAGTACAACGAATGGTCATAATAATATTAAATTCCCAGACATCCAAGCAACAGCAAATTAGCTGCTTGACAATTCTGAACTGCAGAACAAAAGGATAACAAAATTGTTGGTAAACAGGGTTTAGTGAATGAGTAGTATTTACATGGCCCGGCTTAGCTTAAGAGTTACACTTATTTGTAATTTAAAAAGCTTAAGTGTGCCTCCTGCTCGACCAATGCTAAAAAATGTTTTATAAAAGGGATTTATTTTATATTTGCACCGGCCCCAAATACATTTAATGATTGACTTAAATAATGTATAGAAGCTGAAATAGAGATACGTGAGAGACCAACATTAGATTTGAGTGGTTAAGAATTTGAATTTTTTTCTATTCGATTATATTCTTGTCTAATATTATATTCTTCTAAGAAAGTCAAAGGTAAATCACATGTCAATTTGATTAACCCAATATTAAGACCATTATAAGCTTACATTTAATTTATATATATGCAATGATATTCGAACGGAGTAAAAGAAATGTTTTGTATATTCATAAATGATCCAAAGTAAATTAAATGTTGATAAAATCAACCCAATAATCTATGTATAATCATAGTATATAGATTCTATTAAAGCACGTCAACAAGTCCATTCTAACACGCTGGTATACACACATTGGCAAGGCCCTGGGGGCTAATCTTGGCACATTGAGCTGTTGATGGCTCTGACACAGATATGCCAATTACAACTGCATCACACTCTCTACACGGCGCCCAAAAGGTTAGACAAAGTCAAATGTGGGAGCTCAAGCCAAATCTGCGAGCAACTGCTAACCATGGCCAGCTGGAATGGACTGCAATGCTGTTCATATAAACGTATCTTTTTGTATCCGAAAACAAACCAGGAGCTTTAACCATGTGTGGCTATTACTCTGGGTGTTGGTATGGGCAACAATTTCATTTGATGTGCATGACTTCTGGCTGACTTCTTTGCTAACTTCTGGATTTTTCCACTGGCTTGCTAAGGTTCCATCACAAACACACACGCACACACACCCGATTAGCCTGGAGCAAAAAGAAAACATTGCGCAATTTTATATTTGCTTGCAGGAAAAATCGAAGCATATTATGCAGCGGCATACGCAGCTACTCGTAGTGTTTGAGAGCTGAGCACTTGGCCAGTACATGTCCAGGCAATTTGCTTGAAATGTGTGCGAGCCTGGCTCGTGCCCACTATGCACACATACACTTGCCTATTAGCTACTAGTATGAGCATGCATGGCTTTAAAATTTAATTTTGCCAATGGGCCTTTGTTTCGGGCGGCGCCTATCTAGTAAATCAGCAGACGAAAATTGCCGCTGGCCAAGAGTTTTGGCCAGATAATCACACGTGCGAGTCGCGCTAATGACCCTGCCAGTCGTTACTCAATGTTCCATGGGCCTGCTGAGTCTTCTGCGTTGCCTGGCGTCTCAAGGACTCGAAGCACTTGTTTTTCATGCTCCACATTTATTTTTAGCTTGGCCATCTACGACGTCATATTGTGCTATATGTACTTATAATATACAAACACATAATAGCTACAACAATAGCGGCCTTTGGCTAATATGGCCATCAAAAGCCAGCATTAATTGAGCCTTTGTCGGGCATCGCGTAAGGAATCTTTGAAAATTCAACAAATGTTTACCCGATAATAATCCAATAGCAGGCGTTGCCCGTAGTCTTCGGGCTGTATATAGGAAATTGAAGCTTCTTAGTTTGAAAATTTGCATCTGTAAAATTTGTCAAGTAAATGGAAACACATTATATTTCAAATTTCTTTTTGTCATGGTTTTTTCAAAGATGAATTCTGCACTTAAGGTGAAAACTTTGATTGGTTTATTTAATTCACATGACTTTTGTGTAAGATCGATATTATACGTTCTGGCAATTTTAGAGTGTAAGTTTCGAGAAAACATCATTTGTATTTGTAGTTAGTCTATGTCTTAAATATCTGATCCTATATACAGCTTTTGCATTGATATTCCCTGGTGTGGGCTGCTTTCAGAGTTCTGTTAATATAGCATCAAAAATTGCCTTAAGCTTATTTGCCAAGCAAAATTAACCAAGTGTGATGAGCAGAACAGCAAAAGCCACTGTAAAATATATATATATAAGAATTAAATATGTTTGTGTACATGTACCTACTTGATGTATATATGCATCTTCAACATTTATCACGTGTCTCGACGACGTCGCTGCGTCTGAAGGTTAAACGCTTAGCGGTCACAAAGCGGCATCATTAACCGAGGGCTGCGAGTTGTCGGCTTGTTGCTGGGATGTTGACTCCCCTTTTAACAATTTAATTTGCCACAAGTCGGCAATGTGGTGGCAGTGGGCAGCGGTAATTGCGATTACAACGCTAAGCGGCATGTGAGCTTACATTTTGCGCAAGGACAGCAGACAGGCAGGCGTCCTAGACGAGTAACGAGAGAGTTCGCTGTCATTCGGGTTGTTTATTGTGCAGGGCTTGAAGTATTTGTCCGGCACTGGGACCAGTAAATAAACATATGTTTATATGTTGGGCAAGGGCGTGGCAATAATTACAGTTGCAGTGCTTTAACACAAATTAAAGCATATTCCAAGTAACAGCAACAGACGTGCATAGTTGGACTCAATTGCATTCAGGCCAACGCCATTGTTGACAAAATAAAATTGCCACAAGGACAACGAGCTCTCGAGTGGCCCAGGCTTAGCGCTGAGAACTGAGAATGTGGCCCATGGGATGAACTGGTGAACGGAAAGATGAGCTAACAACATTATATGCTCTTAGCCACGTTAAGAAATGGACGCAGCAGCAATTTTATTAAGAATACCACACAACGTGCAACGTCCTAAAGTCTTCGGAACGTCGCAACATTACAGGCCGCAGGGTTTAGTCCGCCATAAAATACATTTTGACAAGAGTTTTATCTGGCACGTCGCCTGTGCCAAGCTCTCCGTGTGTGTGGGAGGGCGATTTATAAGGCTTAGGATTTGTTGCCATCAAGATCTAGTCGTGTCCAGCTCAGCTCGTCAATTGAGCTGCCGCAGAGCGTGCTCTCGATTATTCCGCTATGATTGTTATTGTCGACCGGGACCTTTTGAAATATTATTATTATTTACTTTCTCTATGTCACTGCACTTCCGTGTCACTTACGTGTCCAGCCTGAGGTGTGCTTTAATGTTGCCTTTTGATGGGTTTTCAATGTTTATAGACTTTTCAGCTCCTCTGACTTCTGGCAGCTCATTAAATGTGCATCAAGGCCGACATTCTCTAGCTCAATTCTCATACACCATATTTTCTTCGGTTCAATGTTCTAAGTCGTAAGACGACTGCCTCCATCATTTATTTGACACTTTTTTTAGCAAGGGTGTGCGCTCATACTTCAGATTTGCAAGTGTCACTTTATAAAGAAAATCAATAAGGCATTTCTTTGGCTAATTGCAATAATTTAGCCCTTGAGCGTGGCATCTATCAGCCTGCTTGCCCCCTTTATACCTAGAGGATATATTGTTAAACTTTACGACAGACAAACAACAACAATAACTTCAAGAATGAGCGAAAGTGTTAATTTCACAAATATATTCTCATGGCTTTAGTCTTGACTGCTTGGATTGGGGGAAAATGGCTATTAAAGTTAATTGTTGGTTTATTTGTCACGCTTGAACTTTGAACCCTATGTTTTCTTATGGCTAATGTGCACAATTAAAAGGGGTCGCAAACTTTGCCAACAACCCCCGAGGTTTGATTAAAGCTCCAATTGATTGTGTGTAACAAGCTGTGACACGGCTAGAAACATAATAAATTCTTTGGGCGGACCAAATAAATTCTAGGCGGCTGTAAATTAAAATAACTAGATTAATTATATGTACAGGCTATTTTAGTGGTGTTCACTTAAAGAGCAATAAATTTATTCCAGATATCATTAGACAGCACATCTATAATCGTAGCATTTAAGAACGTACTTTAATTGATGAGTATTTCATGTTAAGGCGACATTTAAAAATACTTTAACTAACTTCCTTCGTGGTGCAGCGAAGACGTTGGGTTTGGGAAAGCATATACGGATTTATATATATACAAGAAAGTTAAATATTCTTGGTATGTATAATACCGGACGTTTGTGTCTTTTAAAATCACTCACTACATTTCCAACCTTTTCTAATGACAGAAGAATTTAATTATATCCCTAAGACTCAAAATACATACTCTACTTTATAGGGATATGTGGGTAAACTTGTTGTAAGCTCTGGTGACATCGTAAAAAGAAATGCTGGATTTGAATAGTTTTAAATATATCATCAAACAGCCGGATAAAACTAAAGCATTTTTCCCATCTCAATGCAGCCGACACTTTAAAGTGTGTTTTAATATAAAGTCCCAACCAAAATTCATTCTAATTTATGTTTGATGACATTATAGCTACATTCTGATATTTATAAATACGTATGGCTTGAATGTTTCCAAAGAAATTTCTCATTGAATTGGGTTGAGTTATATTGAATGCTTAAATAGAACGCTGGATATCTAAGTCTCAAACATGCACAGCCAATTCATTTCACTTGAGAGTAAGTAAGTAAATTTAGACTTATATTTCATTGAAACTCTAGCTTAAATTCAAGATCTTAAAGGTGCAGTATAAAAATGGCACACCCAACGCATATGAAAACATTTTTTTCCATTCCCATTAAAAACGAATCGATATATCTTTCGCACTCCAAATACTAGAATTGTTGTTACAGCTCTACGCATACTTTAACGAGAGTGTATTATGTTTCTTTAGCCGGAGCTAAGAACGCGGCAAGAAGTGTAGCATACACAAAGGCGCAACTTTATTCATTGAAAGTCAAAAGTTAATATACTTTATGTGCACACACATAGATATATATTTTATAACGAAACGCGCAAGAAACTTGTAGTTTATATAAGTTGGAAATATTCAATTGCAGCTCAACGGAATTTCTAGCTGTTAGATAATGCTAGAGACGCTTGTTGAGCACTTGATTAAGGATTAAAAAGAAAGCAAATGGAAATCAGTTGCTCAATCAGTTTAAGCAATTTGCCAAGCAAGCTGGCGCTTAATAGCGCTAAGTAGCAACCTATAAAAAATCACATAAAAGGCAAACAAGTAAACAAATTAAAGGAAAATACATAATACGAAAATACGTTAGCTTTTTATTGTCTAGCAATAAAAACGTTGTGCAATCTGTAAAGAAACTTTTCGGGCAACTTTTCAGTTTGAAGTAAATCATGTGGCCCAGCTCTATAAATAATCAGGGGTCTGTCCACGACAAGCGCCGACCACGCCCCAGTCGTGTCTGCACATAATTTGTGGAATAAAATAATCGAACATGGCCAAATTGAAACAAAATTAAATTGCTATAAATCAACTTGGCGTTAATAGCGTTTCACTGATAACCATTAAGTAGGCGTCGTCATGGGCTTCCAAGAAGCTACAGAGCGGCAAATAAACAAAAGGACGAACACACACACACAGACACACACACATACGCAGAAACAAGCATATGTGTGCACATGTCAGGATGTTCGTTTGCCTTGAGATTGGGATGTTTTCTTTTTGTTTTCTGGCTCACGCTATTTGTATTTTCTTTTTAACGCCTAATTGATTTGTATTTTGCATGCTCGCCTGGGAGGCACTGCATGGCCAATGCTGGTGGAGAGTGTGGTAGCTGCCACGTACATTGAATTCACAATTGTTTTGACATCGGCTCCGTGTTGTTATTGTGAGCATTTTGGAGTGTTCAATGAAGCGCAAGCTATGCCTGAAGGCGTATCTGATGTCCTGTGTGTTGACATATGTACTCGTATCGTATGATTATTGATATTTGTATTTAGAAAAGGGAACTGTTGTAGGAATAACAAGAACAAAATAAATTGGATCGGGGGCAATAATTAAATATGCTTACAAAATGCTAGAAATTAAAGATATTGTGCAGTAAATATTTTTATTATACTTTATTCTAATAGAAAGTGAGGTGTGTAGCAACTGTTAAACATAAATTAATCGTTAGTATTCTTATTTCTGCATTCTTCGATCTTTCATTGTTTTAATAAAAAACATAAAGCGAAGATGTTCCAATTTAATTTATAATTATATAAAACCAATGCAAAATAATATTTAATAACGAATATTATACTTACGCATGTAAGTATATTTAATACAGTCTTTTATTAACATTTTATTCCTTATATGTTCAAATTTTATGGTTATTCAACCAAACTCACAATAATTTAATGTATCCACACACAAAAAGAGTAATACAAATTTGAGCCAAAGGCGGTATCGCAAATAACAAGCGTGTCCTTGTGATATTTTCATTATTTGTAATCATTGCGGAAGTTGTCCTAATAAATGATGACACAGGGCGACATTTGCGCATTGTGCTCTAAGCGGACCCAACAATAAGCCGTGACGATAAGAGCTCGCATAGAACAATAAAGCTGTATGCGCTTCGACATCCTGTCACACCACACACACACACACACACACACACACACACACATAAATACATATTTATATTATATCAACTCACTAAACAGTAGCAAAAGAGGAAGTTTCATAAAAATCAAATTTAATTTTATTTCATAAGGACAACTCACTAAACAGTAGTAAAAGAAGAAATTATATGAGAATCAAATTTCATTTCATTTTATACTCACATTATGTGGCAAGAAGCAAAACACAAAAAACGAATATGTTGCACAAAAACTGTGAGGAAATAAAAGAAAAAACTGAGCAACAATTGCACGTGGTAGCATTGACAATTTGCATGCATAAGCAGCGACAGCGTCGACTGAGCTGACAGGCAATAAATTTTGCATAGCCCGAGTCAATTACAGTTTTACAGCCATTCGGTGCGGTTCTGTTGCGTATGAGCAGCAGAGCACAGGCAGAAGTTGAACTCAACAAAACTGTACTACAAGTTTTGCCGGAAACGGAAATGCGCGCACACACGCACATCCCCAGCGCAGTCGCCTGCTGTTTTGTCTAGGTGCATGCAGCTGTAAGAAACTTACAAGCCAAACGAAACCAAAAACAAAAACAAAAATAAATATGTGTGAGGCTGAAGATAGAAAAACTACAGACGCAACCCAGGAGCACTTAAAAAATCGTAAAAAAAAAAATTTAAAATGACAGCAGAAACGCGAGCG